CATCGTGTGAAGTATATTTATAGTTAATAAGGTTAACTTATTTTAAATTACAAAAAAGACAATTGTATAAACGATCTGTCAATAAATTATTGTACAGTGTGATTAGATATGCTTTAAAACTATACCAACAACTGTTCCAAGTGATATAGAAACAAAGGAAACCGAGGTGAGTAATTTACTGAATGTTACGAGTCGAGAATCGTCACATGTCACATCAGTTGTGATATAAGCGTCTATGATTCTCGAAGTGAACGGCGCATCTGTCACCCCGAAATACTTTTTAACAGACACCAATCGAGACGGTCCTGCGTGAGCCGCATTACTTTTCTATCATCCCTACCTAGGCGCATCGTACGTACGGGCTAGTGGGCGCTGATTGGTGTGCGGCAAACTTCTGGTCGCGCTGGTGGGAGCACCGTGAAGCGGGACCTCTCAGCGACTGCGAGCATCTATCAATGCGCAATCGCATCGGAACGGTACACGAAGTCAGGGAGGTTGCGGCGAGGTGAGGAATAAACACAGAGGATAGTCCGCGCGCAGCTCAGACAGCGGTGAGAAGTGGGCGGCAGAGGGAGCGCGGGACGAGCGAAGGCGAGAGAGAGGGGAGACGAAGTGGGAGAGAGCGAGAGAGAGGGAGGGTGTGGGAGCGAGCGAGAGGCGAAAAAGAGAGAGATAGAGCGAACGAGCAGGCTAGCGAGACGATCACGATGCACGGAGGCGAGCACAAGCGGCCAGGGGCACAGGGCTGAGGGCTGAGGGCTCGACAGGGCCTCGAATAACGTTCACGGGCCGGCCGCGGCGCAGCCAGGGAGCAATGGAGCAGCCGAAGACTCCCGCGTCCCGGCTACTCACCACGACCTGCATCGAGAACAAGGACGAGCTGGAAGAGGTAACATAAATATTTGAAATAGTCACTGGATACGTATCGAGTGCGAGGGCCTCCGCCATTGTTGCGACGGTCGCGCACGTTGGTGAAGGCGCGGCGCCACATGTGAAAACGCGCGTTTCTACTTCGGATTCGAACTCGTCGTGTGGAAACGTTGATTTTCTTCCTTCCAATAGTCTTCCGTATTCTTCACTTCTTCACATTCCGTTGGAAAAAGGAACGTATCATTTTTCAACTGAATTCTACTCACAATTTTGTCTAATATAATTCTCCTGAATTATTTTATATTGAATATCCTCTCTCTTTTTCTCTATCTCTCTCTCTCTCTCTCTCTCTCTCTCTTTCTCTCTCTCATTTTGTACTCATGCATATTTGAAGAAATTTGTTCCAGAAAATTATATCCTTTTTATATTTTCTTTATTTTTATTATAAAGACAATAGATTCAAGTTATATGATATGCTTTCAGAAATTGGAGAAATGTCATTCAATGCTGCAGATCCTGACTGCAGGACTCTCAGAGAAGGAAGTCCACGACACGCTAAACAATGCAGTGTGCAAGGACAAGACGCACGAGGAGGTTTCCTTAGGTTTACTAGTGGTGATCTTGACAGATCCGCAGAATGCTGCAAAGAGTTATAGAGACCTGACACTGATCACACGAGACGGCCTTGCCATCGTGCTGCTTCACCTAAATCAATTAGTATTGGAGAAATATTTGAGATTAAACGACGTCACCAGAAATCAGCTGTTGTGGTTGCTGAGGGAAATGATAAGGACTAGTGTAACTAATGTGGATAATCTTTGTTTGAGTTTATTGAGGCATGCAGCGGGTGGAGATATTTCCCCAAGAAACTTATTCCTAGTTGATGCCCTCTTAGATATTTTTCAAGAAAATCGAGCGTGGTTGGACAAATTTCCGTTTTTAGTAGCGTCAATTGTGTACACATATTTGCGATTAATAGAAGACCACAATGCGCCTCACTTAACTGGTCTACGACAGAAGGAAGTGGCTTTTACAGTGTCTCTGATAAGAGAGCGAATGGCGGACTGTTTAGCTATTGGAAGGTACATATGTCTGTGCGACCAACAAGTTTCAAATAATAATAAGATCAACTAATGCACTTGATTGTATTTTTAGGGATCTGGTGCGTTTACTGCAAAACGTCGCGAGGATACCGGAGTTTGAGGCACTATGGAAGGATATGCTGCTCAATCCAAAGAGCCTCTGCCCGAATTTTAACGGTGTTTTACAGTTGCTGCAAACTAGAACTTCAAGACGGTTTTTACAGTCTCGTTTAACACCGGACATGGAAAGAAAACTCGTATTTCTAACTAGTAACGTCCGTTTCGGTAATCACAAACGCTATCAAGACTGGTTTCAGCGGCAATACCTGGCAACGCCTGAATCTCAGTCGTTAAGATGCGATCTCATTCGCTTCATCGTGGGAGTCATACATCCTACAAACGAATTGCTGTGCTCTGATATTATACCACGATGGGCAGTAATAGGCTGGCTATTCACTACGTGCACCTCCACCGTTGCAGCCAGCAACGCAAAATTGGCACTATTCTACGATTGGTTGTTCTTCGAACCCGAAAAAGACAACATCATGAATATCGAGCCGGCGATTCTTGTTATGCACAATTCAATGAGATCCCACCCACCAGTCACTGCCACACTTTTAGATTTTTTGTGCAGAGTAAGTACAAATCTCACAGCCACGCTTTTCCGTTTTGATCGCTGTAATTTTTCACTATGGATGGTATTTCTCTAACACAATTTTTTCAGATAATTCCAAACTTTTATCCTGCGTTAACGGATAAAGTGAGAAACGGAATATTCTCATCGTTACGACAAATTTTAGAAAAACGCGTTTTGCCTAGCTTATATCCATTATTCGATAGTCCGAAACTGGATCGAGAATTGAGGAGCAAAATACGAGAAACTTTCAAGGAGTTTTGTCTACCACCAAACACAGAGTCTGGTAAAATTATATATTGCCTATATATTGCCTTATACATTGCATATTGCCTATGCATGTGAGCCATTTCTTTCTGTACTGACACAATTTGCCATCTGCACAAAAAATAGCTTAGAACAAACGTACTTTTTTTTATATTAGACATTCAGCTTGAAATTCTAAATTCGATTTAAGTTCGGGTAATTGATTTGAATTATTCCAAAGTTTTAGATCCTAAACTTGAAAATTTAAATTGTTATAATTTTAATTTTCGTTACTTCAAATTTTTTATAAAAATATTCCATACATGAGATGGAAAGTGCGAGAACAAGCTTTTTGCATCAGACTTCAGCATAAAATTATATCAATTTTTGTTCTCCATTCAAACAAATTTTTACAGGTATCTGAACTTATCGATTATATTCGATATCATTAATGCCTTCCATTCCTAACGTACATACATATTTCTACTTCAAAACGCATCACCTCCAGATATTTATCATATATTATATAATTTAAAATCATATAAGGTATGTTTTTCAGAAATAATTGGAAAAATTGATTTTTCCTATCAAATATCTTTAAAAATCTATTAACGAAAAGATATGTCAAATATTTTTACATCAGTTTTATGAGTAAAAAATATTTGTTATGTACTAATGCTGTTTAGAACCAGGTAACTGTTTTTGTTAACCACTTGTTCAAATTAATCAACAGTAAATTTATCGACAAAATTGCGTGAATATGAATGAAATATTAATGCCCGATTCCACCAACGTAGATTAACTTTAATCTCTGTTCAACTTACTCTTCACCTTTTTCTAATTCTTAGAACTAGAAAAAGATGAAGAGTAAGTTGAACCGAGATTAAAGTTAATCTACATTGGTGGAAATGGGCATAAGTCTGTTTTTTATAGCTGAACTGGCTGCACTAGTTCAGAGTTTATTTTTTTCCCTCCACATTAAAAGGAGAAAGATAAACTCTGAACTAGTGCAGCCAGTTCAGCCAAGTTCAGCTATAAAGAATAGACTTCTTGTCATCAAAGAAGAAAAAAGTTAAACATTTTTATTCTTTAATGACGATATTTTTATTCTTTATATTAGCAATTATGTGGAAAAGTTTAAACCGTCGGTTTAAATTAACCGATGTTTAATCACTCTTATGCCCGATTCCACCAACGTAGATTAACTTTAATCTCGAGTCAACTTACTCTTCACCTTTTTCTAATTCTTAGAACTAGAAAAAGATGAAAAGTAAGTTGAACCGAGATTAAAGTTAATCTACATTGGTGGAAATGGGCATTAAAGATATAAAAATATTTTTTTTGCAATTTTTTAGACTATATATCGAGATAAAAACATTCTAATTTATTATTCAATAAATGCTATATACGAAAGAACAGAGAAAATATTGTTTTATTTGGTATAGTTTATAATTTTCATACCGAAACCATCAGTAAATATAACGCCAATTTAGTTACCTTTTTTAGCTTTAACGCCAATTTAGTTACCTAATAGATCCCAATAAGAACAGACCCAAATAATTTTAGGAAATATAACCAAAAATACAATATCTTATGGGAGGAGATATCCGCATAGTACTTCGCATAGTATTCCATAGACTCCATCTTAGTCCGTAAAGTTGGGAAAGGGCATACATGATTCCGAATTTAACTTTTTTTTATAAATCTGACAATTCACCTCTTTCAGCTTTCAGCACATTTATCGCTTACTAACTTTTTACATCGTGTCTTTAACCAGGTAATAAGGTTCTGAAATATTCAGGTAAAATGGAAGAGCTCAACAAGGAGCACAATCCAGCGTCTGTAATAGAGAATACGACGAACTCCATGTTGGAAAACAACCACGTGGCGCAAGACTCCGAACCGGCATTCAGTGATGAGGAAGAAGAAGCTCCTCTCAGGTTGAATATCTATAATATATATTGCGTAGTGATATATATTAATTTTTTTAATTGAAATTTATGGCTGCTATAGTTATTCTTCGATCATAATGTACAATTGTGGCAACCGTCGTTTTCTATATTAGAAAAATAAAATCTCGTATATAGATATATAACTAATTTTACTATTTCTGTCGTCTTTTAGAATAGTGACGAAAGTGGAGGATGAAGAAGATGAGGAGGATATACCATTATCCACAGTAAAATTGAAGAATGAGCAGAAGAATGCAAACTGCGTCGTGAAGAAGGAAGACATCACGTCGCATTTGCGTCTTATATTGGAACCGGAGGAGTTGAGGACCAGCATAGAAACACTGCACACGGAGACGGACAACGAGGCGAGATGTCAAACAATGGAGAGGATAGTACAAATGGTCGTGGAAGACGAGATAGACGCCGAAACGATATCTGCGCTCGCGTCCTGCATATCGACCATCTTGGCATCGCAAATCACGGCGCAGATCTTCCCGTCGGGGAACGACAGCCCGGCGAACGAGGAAGCGCTGGCTGATAGTATAAGCACGCCACTGTTCGTTATGTTTCGAAATCAATTTCAGTTGTGCAAAGAGGAGGACAACAGGCGGAAACTTTTGGCCAGGGTGTTGGCAGAGATGCAATCCGTTCAACCAAGGATAGGTTATCTTTTGCTTTACTTTTTGAAAGTCTGGGGCAGAGAAGAGGAAAAGAGAGAAGGCGAGCCGAGGTGAATACAAAAATATATCAGATCAAAAAGTGAAAGAGAGAGAGAGAGAGAGAAAGAAATTACTAACCTTCGCTCTATTTGCTTTTAGCAATGTTCTGAGTGACGTCAAAGCGTCGGTGTACAAAGACTTCTGCGCACAGCGAGAAAAAAAATTGGACGTGTGTCTGATATCGGACTTAAAGGTATTTTTAGATCTAGATGCAATTAAATTAAATGTCGATATGTAACTTTAACAGCAATATTGTAATTCTTGTCGCAGACCTGCCACGAAGATAACATATTCATGTTATGCTACCTCGTGCCCGACGTGTACATGGGCTTTCAAAACGTCGCCCTCGGGAACGCCCAGCTGTTGCATTTGGTCGTGTCCACTGTGGATTCTTGCCAGCTGCAGGATCTAATATGTCAGATAATGCAGGGCCACTTGAAGATGTTGAAGAAGGAATCATTCACCTCATTGTTGACAACGAGCTTAAACTGGGAGACTTTCGAGCAGTACTGCTTCTGGCAGCTCATATTCGCGCACGATTTTCCTATCGATTATGTACTGCCGGTTTTGCCAAAGCTGCAGTTTCGGAATCACGCGGAAGCGCTCACTTCGATTCTGCTCATGCTTAAACAAGAGAAGTGAGTAAAGTATATATATTATCGTCGTCAGAGATCGATGTACAATTGCGAAACGATATATGATTTTAAATACGATCAATGTATTCACAGGCCGACGTTGGATCTTTTACGGCAACTACTTGCTCGGCAGAACGTCGACGGTGATATGTTCGTCGTGGCCGCGTTACGTTACTGGTGTCGTGATTACGAGGACAAGCTCGGCGAGCTGCTTGCAAATCTGCTTAGCACCCGTTATCCCGCTACTAGTCCGAACAAACGGAAACGTTCCGGGAGCAGAGTCCCAAGCATTCCTAAGCAAAATCAACAATCCGGCCCACCTACAGGCGAACAGGTTCTCGGCCATTTGGACCAATTACGCCAGCACTGCACGTCCTCTGCAGAATTGCAGTTGTATCATTCTGAGGGGATGCAAAGAGCGTTGCAGCAGGCGCAGGCGGCGAGCGGCGACTCGCTGAGGAAGAGCTATGGCGATCTGTTCGCGCTCGCCGAGGTCAACGAAGAGAACGAACCGCCGCCACCGAGTAGTTCCGCGAGAAAGCACACTACGGCATCCTCTGGAAGTGGTGGAGGTAGTGGCAAGGGCGGTCACAGGAAAACGGGTGCTAACACGAGAGAAAGATCCAACGTGAGGCGACCACTTCCGCGGTATCATATTGATAGCACTTCTAGTAGCGAGGTAAATTTTCTTAGAAAGAGTAATGTATTTATATATTGCATACATTGTATAACGTATATATTACGACAGCGAAAAATATTAATTGTTCTGTTCGCTCTTAGGAGGAAGAGATCATGAATCCAAAGCAAGCGAAAAAAAGGAAAAAGATCAATCCAGTGGGCTCAGACAGCGACTGACCACCCAGTGTCTTCATATGTCACATGGACCACGTCACGTGTGTGCAGCAAGCTAAACTAGCCTTAAGTATAGTAAGATAATATGATATACATAAATAGATTTATCTAGCGCGACTTGTAAATATAACGTATGTTAAGGATGAACGCGGAGAGAGGTATACGTATATTACGAAAGGCGAAGATCTTTAACATATTTCATAAATGTTGCTCACAGCAACAGCAAAATTGCCAGACTCTGATTGTTATTGTTAAATAGTTTTATTAAAAAAGAAGAAAATGAAGATCGGCATGAAAATTGTACTTTCTCTTTCAACGATCTCATTTCGTACGAACACGTTTGTACGCGTGAGTGCTGGATATTACTTTTTTCTTTCGGTAAACTTGCATGGCACACAAGCGATCGAAGCGGTACGTCAATTATCCTACTTTTCCTGTATTTCTCCACGGGATATTTGCCGTCATTAGGCTACCGCGCGCGCATCTGTCAAATAAAGTTACAAAAAATAAAATTAATCGTGTATTCTGAAATTATTTAATAATGATCACTTTCTTCACAAATATGAAGATAAAGAGCAGAATCTGGCAACGTTGCAAAAGATACAGCAACGCATTATATCTTTTTTGCACTTTATAATTTTTTTAAATATGATTATGACACATTTTACCTATTGTTTGAACAATCGTCACGGTTTTTCTTTTCTTTGTAAGATTCTTTTCAAAGTAATCGCCCCGATTGGACATATTCGTTGCCATAACTCCGAACGCAATTCGTATCGATCGTTAACTTCTTTTCTAGAATTAAGACACTTCTGCCGGAATGTCGGGACGTGATGTACGAGAGGTCGCATTCCGGGGAGAAGCGTACAGTTTTACGACCAAATGTATTCAGTCTGCAACTGCGCTCATTGAACACGATCATTCTCGAGAGAGAGAGAGAGAGAGAGAGAGAGAGAGAGAGAGAGAGAGACGCAGGAATATTTTTTACGATGTTCTGCATGACGGAAGGTTGTTAGCGTTATAGAGTAACGAAAGCAGTTGAATTTAGCTTCAAATAAATTCTCTTTGTTTTTTGTTACAAATTTTACTAAAATGATTTAATGATTTGTTGCGATTGTAAAATGCGACGTAATATGACTTTTATTGTACTTTTGTATATCTTTTTACAATCCCTTATATTTGTAGATAGGCATATAAGGTAAAATTAATTCACAGAGAGTCACGATCGGCTGTCGGCACGACAAATCGATATCATCATTGTAAAAGTATTCGATCCTCCCAAAATAGTATTCGAATAATTTTCCATACTAAATCGTTTGTCATTTCGTTATCATATTATCGTACGAGACACGCGTGTTTCCGTGAGACATTCGAGAGATTCTCGGATTACGACTCCTTCCAAGAGAAGAAGAAAGAACAGATTCAAATAGTGTAGTCCCGTCGAGCGTCTTTGTAAACCCAAGTCCCGAAGGCAAGGTACGGAGAGTATCACCATTTACTTATAATGTACATTTCCTGTAAAATCGGTTAATCTAAAAGTAGAGATTGCGTTATGTATTTTCTAGATTGTATATATACAGAGATGTGTGTGAGAGATAAAACACGACGAGAGTGTGTGTGTGTGCATGCGTGCATGTGTGGAGATATATTGTACGTGATGCGAGAATTGCGAAATATTTTACGTTTTCACGAACTTTATATATTTCTCAGCACCCTCCACGTCTCCTCTCTCGCTCCCTTGATTTTATCTCGACGCTACCCAGTGCGAAATCGTGCAGATAATCGGATAAAAAGAAGATTAACAAAAACAAGAGATATCAGAATATGAGATATCCGAACAACAATTTGTGTGGAGGGATGGGTGTGTATAATATCCGTTTGTAACGATAATGCGCGTGACGATAATGACATTACTAAAGTCTTTCTACTTGTACATAAGCAACACAGCGATATACGTCAGAGGATATTTAAAAACGATTATTCGACGAGAGAAAGAGAGAGCGAAATTTGGAACATGCGCGAGACTGTGTGTATGTGAGAACAAAAAAAAATCGTAAAACAAAAAAAAGGAAGCAAATCTGTAAACATTTAATGTTTTTAACGATCTTGTACACACGGAAGAACATGTAAATAGGTACATGGAATAGATTATCATAACGCGAGCATAAACATTTAATGTTTTTAACGATCTTGTACACACGGATTACACATAAAAATGTAAATACATCGAAAATTATCGGAAGCAAACTTGTGATATCTTGTACTTACTTTCTCCTTCTCTCGATTCTCCTCCTTCCTTCGAGATAGTCGTACATCTCGCAGAGAGAGAGATTCGACATTGTTAAATCGTTTCGCCGCGATTAGCAGTAGTAACGCGCGAATAGAATAACATTCTCTCTCTATCCCGTTTCACGATAGTCATAATCGCACAATTATTCCGTGACGCGAGCAATAACGCTTATTTTTATCAAAGAAAGAAACGTGGCAGATATCTGTATTTGCCGATGAATAAATATTTCGCTCACAATGACCTAAACTCGGGTGTGTAATTGTTGTTTGCGTTATACATCCCATTGTACAATAATGCAAATCATCGATTCGTCACGTGTGAATTCTGAAACGCAATAGTACGTTTGAGGAAAGCGCGTAAGACTTATTGTAAAAACGACTTTATTCTGTTCTGCCACACACACACACATGCGACTTCCGTCGCACACCGAAGAGAGAGAGAGAGAAAGAGAGATTGGGAAAATCCAACTTGATGCGAGAGAATAAAGGAAAATCATAATATCAATTGTCACATATTATTATTGCTAAAAATGCAGCGATGGGGAAAAATGGAATTAGACCCTTATTTATTTTTTCAAGAAATTTGTGGATACGTCACCGTTAATTATATGACATATCTTTTGCCCTACATATAATGTATTAATCAAACCTTTTTTTTTTTCTTCTCAATTCGTCGTATATTCGCCAGTGAGACGAGAATTGCGAGAACTATAATCGCCACCAAACATAAATAAAGTAACTATTTGTTCTTCTCAAAGATTATTTATCTTTAATATCTTAAGTTAAGGATTACAGAGAGAATGAAGAATATAATTTCACAAATTTATTCACTTCGATGATGCATTATAATTCGCGCTCGTCTGTCTGTCGAGAATTTCATTCAGCTAATTTTCAGGCGAAGATCAATAAAGAGCACAAGTTACAAAATCGCTCTTTACTACACTTTACAATGAAGGCTGCAACCTCGATCATTGATTGATCTAATATCTATCAATTATTATTGATCAATCCAGATGTTTTTCAACGTAAATACGTAACAGACTTAATCGATACGAAAAAGCGATATTGATTCGTCGGCAAATCGTCCGCCTCTATCTTGATCTTCGCGCGTTCAAGTGTCACCTAATTAAAGTAGAGAAATAGTTTTGTTTCGATTGTGCACGGAGGGGGTGGGGGGTGGGGGTGGATTGTACTTTACATAGGTATATTTAAAGAATCCGAGACCGTTCTCTACGGCGACGTGCGCCATATGTTATAATCATTAATCACAATCGTCGAATATGTACAAGGATTCTGTACAGGGATTCGTACCATTCGTCGTCACGCATACGCGCTATATCACGTAGAAATTCGATTATTATACGTAAGTTATCGCTTTATATTTACGATGCAAAAAGGTATTTCGTTCGTAAACTAGTTCATACCGCGCGAGCTGTACCGAACAGCGACGCTCGTGACATTGATACTGACACTAACAGGATGAGGAGACGGTCCGAGATACCGTCACCTCGCTTTACACGCTTGGAAAATCACCATTCGATGCAGTAATTTCTTCTTCGTCGAAATTCGAAATGATTGAACCAAGTAGAGGAAAAAAAGTCCAACAATCTGCGCGCAATACTGATTATTCTTAGCGAATTACTTTTACATCAACGATGTGCGTCTGAATAATAAAAACGACCGACACAACCAAGTCTCTGAGAAACATCGCAAAGACGTTTCTTTGTACCGTGTTGTTCGAGAAGATAACAAGAAAGTACGATTCGTTCAAAGATACAGCGTCTGATAAAAGTTTGAAACAATGTCTCAACGACGGTATGTTCGTTTATTAAAAAGCGTAATGCAATTTCTCGCGGATAGGCGGGAATTGGTAGGCCTTGCCCTCGACATCAGCCGTCCACTTTAGACGCGTTGTATAATCCTATACATTTACGTAGCTACAAAATCATATATATCTAACATCACCGTTTGCGAAGGCTCTTCTCGTTTACTTTAGTGCACATGCGAATCACTCCGGTAACGTCGTTCCAACGCGCTCGCTCATTGTATGCACGCGACAAATAGAAGTCCCGTCCGCGCGCGTAATCGCGTATACGGAATCGGGACATGCACTCGCGAAATCGGGACACGCATCTAATATACATCGCTCGATCCACGTTCATACATATACGCGCACGCAGACACGCACACATTGACTTTCCATTCTTCTTCTAAAGTTATTCCATTACAATATAGATTCGCCGTATGTGTATATGTACACAGTAATCAGTCGCGCGGTCTAGGGTCCTAAGGCTGCGAAGAGTTTCGCTTGCGAAAACTCCTCGCACCCCCCTTTCTTTGCGAAAGGGAGAATACACATTAATCAAGTTCGTGGTTTTTAATGTTATTAAGGGAGGAAAGGCAAGTCTCTCTCTCTTTACTGGAAATAAAGAGGCTTAGTAAATCACTTCGTATACAGTGGCCTTCTTATCGCCGGATCCGGTCACGATGTACTTGTCGTCCGCAGAAATGTCGCAACTCAGCACCGACGACGACTCCTTAGACTGCAAAGTTTAACAAAATTCCCAAAATATAACTAACCCCTAATTTACCAGCCCGAACGCTGCCTCTCAATGCATTCAAAATTTTTTTCAATTTTTGACAAGTTTTTTAAATAAAATAAATAATCAGATAATATTCTCAAATAGTATCGTACGAGTGTTGATTAATCCTGTTATCAAAAACTGTTTCCACAGTACATTCTAATAATTCGTCTAATTGTAAGATGCAGCTTCTCCCAACGCCAATCGGACATGAGAATCGAGGTTACAATCTAAAGATCTAATTGATAATAAATTGTTGCCAAATACTTGCCTGAAATATTGAAGCACCGTACGGCGTGCGCCATGCGTTTAGGAGATTGTCCTTGCCGGTGGAAACAAACCACTTGCCGCAAGAGGCGAAACGCAGGGACAGCACGCAGGATTCGTGCAAATGCAGCTGATACTTGTCGGACTTGGTGGCGTGAAGCACCTCTACGTTTGAGTTTTCCATGCCGACGGCCAGCCATTCGCCGGTGGGACAGTAGCCCAGCGAGAATATTTGCGAGGTAAAATCGTGCTGTTGCAACTGCCTGCCTTCACGAAGATCCCACGATCGTACGGTGTTGTCGAGGCCACCAGTCCACAGTTTCGATCCATCGGCGGAGATGTCGATGCAGGACGCGCCATCCGTATGTCCTTGGAACTGCCTGACCAGCGTTTGATTCTGCAGATCCCACACGGCAATGTTTCCGTCACTACAACAGCTGAAGCAGACCTTGGAGTCCGGAGATATTGCCAGCGCGTAGCAGGCAGGCGCCGAGGAAGTCAATTCCGCCTTGATTCTAGGCGTGGGACTAGCTAGATCCCAGATGCTCAATTGACTTGCCTCCCCGCCGACTATCAGCGTCCTTCCGTCAGGTAGCAGCTTCACGGATCTAGCAAGTGGAAAGTATTTCGTTAAATATTTATTTCAATTTATTTAACTATTGAAAATATTTAACGCTCGTAATAATGCATGAAGAATATTACTGGCCATTAATTGTGACATTAAATGCAATTTTCATATCTATATAATACATTCAAAAAATAGTAGCCTCGTTTTTCCACTTTTCTTTAAACTTTTCTTCAGTTATATTTTTTCACGATGAACATTGAAAGTTGAACTTTATCGGCCATTCATTAGCTATTCCAATCGATCACATCGCACGTGACTCTTTTCGAAAGATTGTTTACGAAAGCAACGAGGCGTTTTTGCGTACAACAATAGCGCGGGATACGACTCACTCAAGGTTCTCACCTAATATAATTGTCACGCTGCAAACAATCCAGCTGCGAAACCGGTTTCACGCTCGCGCTGCCGACGCTCTGGCCGATATCCCAAACCTTGACGCAACCCTTGCCGCCGGTGTAGACGTACTTGGTCGGATTCGAGATCGTTACGGCGCAGACCACCTCGCCGTGAGTTAGGGTATTAATCTGGCGCGCGTGACGCGGGATACCCGGTCCTACTAGAGCGTCCGTGGGGAATGGTACGGGCTGCAGTTGGCCCTCGCCGTTCATATGGTAGGAATATGCTCTGTGGAACGAACATCCGATTAATACGCAAATGTTTAACACGGTCTTACCGCGATACAGCATCAGAGATAGAAGCAGATTCTGCGGGCGATCTAAGAGGATCGTATAAATTATAAAATTACGTACGGTTTGCCACCCGCGATGTTATTCAGTCCGTTACTCGCTGATATCCTCATGTGACTGTCGAAACCGAGCTGCGAAAGAAAAATCAAAACTCAGTATCGAATTCGGTGGAGATGAGCAAGAAAAAAAATGTATATTCGTTCGTTTGATAGATAGCGAAATAAATAGCCTTAAAAATGGTGTACAAGTGTCGTTATCGATTTGGATGATTTTTGTGAATCTGGGACGAGACTTGATTGCGCACTTTAACTCGAAAAAGACTTCTGGATTATTTCGATATTTCTTAACATCAATCTACAAACTAGTGAAATAATAAAAAAAAAAAGAAGAGAGAAAACAAATTATAAGCTCTTGAAACTTTTTGGAAAGAAGCTCCAGAAGTCTCTTTAAAGTTGAAAGAATTATAAACGTTTGCTCCAAAATCAAGCTGATACGCGAGATATTACGCGATCTTTATCCATATAACACAAAATCATATTAATTGATGAATGAAAGCGTGTGGTAACGTAAGGGTTAAGGAGTTACGGGGTCGTGAATCACCATCGAGGGCCGCGCGTATGGCAAGTTGCTGTATGGCGAGGGCGACTGCGGCGGCTCATTGCCGCGGGATGGCAAGCCCTGATAACCCTGCGGTGGCGTTTGCTGCGACGATGGCGGATGATAGACCCGCGATGCCAAGGGCCCAGGGATGCCGCCCATAGTTGGCGTACAACTGCGCGAGCCCCTCGCCGCCGCCACAGGTGTACCCGGCTTGTCGACCTGGCGAACGCACGGGTGTTTTGCATCCACTGCTTTTGCAGACGCTCACTATGTCTCGATGATACTAAAGCTCGACCGTGTCGATTGTATTCGCTGACAATGCCAGCCGGTCGAACGCGATTTTTATTTTATGTTATTTTTTTTTTTTTTTTTTTTTCTTACGCGGCGGCAGAGAGCCGCTGCTTCAACAGATTGAATGAATAATGCGTGCCGTGCCTTGAGTCGCTAGAATTTGGTCGGTCCATTGTCGCGGGTGCCGCGAAGATGATACGATATCGTTTGAGTCGCCAGATGTCAAGTAATATATAGAATTGTTCTGCGAGATCGCGCAGAGGTGATGCGCGTTGAATTTTTTACGTCCAACTGAATTTTGATTACCATTTACTGACTAAATTTCTGTACAAAATATCTCTTTTATTTCCTATCGCTTTAAAACAAACGAGAGAGACGATGGGATTTAAGGAAACATCTGGCGACTTCAGAAGAGATCGACTTTAACGTTCGTCCCGCGAGAAGGATTTCGATATATGGGCGACAAAGTCACGACTGGACCGGGTCGCAGCGCCAAATAAGCTTACTCTCCGCGAGATCTTACATCTTTACTTTTCAGAGACGGCGTGCTACGGGCGGAGGAACTGCCGCTGCGCGACGGCGGCCTATCCTTTACGGACGCCGAGCCTGCACCGGATGCCGGTCCGCCAACGTGGCCTGGCGCGCCCAGCTTCTCCAGGGTGCCGTTTTCGCGCGGATCCGAGTGTTCCCCATTTGCATGCGGTGACGACGCCTCCTTTCGCGAACACACAAAGATTCAGAATTAGTTGAAGCGAATGTGCGCAGCAGCGAATTTAAATTTTCTCGCATGCATAACTTGGATCCTTTCTTTTTTTAGACTTTTATTTTTGTTTCTCACTTTTTTTTTGGAACTTTAACATAAGTCTCAATAAATTTGTATTTTTCGACAAAAATTTAAAATTATTTCGTGAAAACGTCAGTTAATTTTAATACAACGTTTGCACGCGACACAGTTGATTATGCAAACTAATTATAATTATATGCAGAGATAAAAATAGATTTATATGAATAAGTATGTTCACAGAGTGATATTAATGGACACAAGTGACACACTTCTTGAATAGAGCTTCGCAGTCCCTTACCTCGTTCGCTACGTCGACTACCAAGTCCTGGTCGCTCTTCTCGGCATCGCTCTCCTGAAAAGTTCAAAACGACCATGTAAGACCGTGATAACGAGACGCTCTATGCGACCGCCGCGCCGGTGGCAGTCTGCCGAGCCGCGCAACTACTCGGTATATCAACCAGCTTTTGATGCACCTCCGTCCAAGTAGATGAGCAACTCGACCCATATTCGCGCGAGCCCTACTGGCGCGGATGCATCCTCAAAGATGCATTATTAATCTTGATATCTCGCACGTTCGTGCAACGCTCTGAATGCGCCCGAAGTTAACGGCGAAACGCCTAGAGACGACTGATACGCTCTGGTACACAGTGATCTCTGATCTCCGCCAAGTTAGAACCCCACTTTCAGAATCTCGATATAGTTGATAAAGTCGAAACTCTCCCCCAAACAGCAACGGAGCTCCCGATACGTTTCATAAAGAAACTTCGAGGGAAAGTTTCGGGTTTGTGGAAAACAGTGCTTTAACTCGCACAGTCAAGAGATTTGTTAATATTAATCAAATAAAATACGATAGGGTATCTAACTTCAACAATGCGCCAGCTGATAACGATTATTCCGTACTTCACGCTGCCAAAAAGGTCAACTTTATTCCATTTAATCGATGATATTTCGCGAAACAATTATCGAAGGCGAGTGATTGTGGGAAACGCCAGATTTTCAGCTTTTGAACTCAAACACTCTTTGCAAAGATATTGGCGATTACATCGATCCGTGGCGATGACATTCCGATTTAAAGCAAAATCGGCCGATCAGGCCGATACTCGCGAAGCACGTGTGGCGACGAAAAAATTTTCCACTACTGATCAGCTGATCAGCTGATCGTAGTACTGTGATAGTTACGTTACGTTACGTCACAAGGACGCACGCACACATGCGCGCCGCGTTTATTTATAGATAAACGGTGTGCGCGTGGTGAATTTTCAAAACGCTATAACTGGGTGAAAAATTGACGTAACGACATGCGACATAAACGGATCCTTTGTGCTTCGCGTTCCGCAGATGCCTACGCTCATTGTGTATACTTTTATTATGAAACAATGTTTATATACATGTATTAAAATAATAATGTATGCGGTATAAAATAATAAATTATAAAATATAAAAAACTTCATTTAACAGTTATAAAATATTTCGCGCTTTATACACTCCCGCAATGAAAAGATTAGTGTCGTTTTTTTAGTCCATTATTAGACACACTTTGCTTTAAACTATTTTAAAAATAACTTTTAACAGGATAGTTCAAATATACTTAAATACGGAAAGTTACATTTTTTATCCTTCATATTTCATCAACAGCTCTTGTGTGTGCTCAAGCTCTAATTCAACAGCGCATATGAGCAATTGAGAAAAAAGTTATCGCAATCGCTTATTCGTTTCATTATTCGCGAAGTGATTTGTGGCTAGCTTGTACGATTATCTCACATCAGGCCGTATCTATAACAAGCCGCCGTTATTATTTCCGCAATTTTACGTTCACGTAATGTAGCGCGGTGCATACGTGCACGTATACATCGCACACCGTTAATTTATGTGGCGTTTATCTTGTAACACTACTTATCAGTTATCTTTCACTTCGTACAAGTGGTGCTCCTTGCACCGCTGCGCCATTCCGTTCTCTCAGGATGTGGCGCTTAACGAGCTCAAAGCAGGGCATGCGATAGCAGCAGCAGCATTGCCCGCCTAATGACGTAATATCGCAACGTATAACGCCCCATCAATGCGTATCGTACGAAGGTGCAGGCGGGATCGTGTGAGTGCGTATAGCGTACGGACGCACGAAACCACCTGTGCGCGTCGCGGCGTTTCCAGTAATTCAAGCTAGCGAGTATTTAAAAAATTCTCTCGCTAAATACCGCGTGCCACTTCACGTAATCTTATCCGGCGTCCCAGCGCGCGCATAAATTACATTTAATTGCGCCGTGAGAGAAAGCGTCGTCCGCGCGGTTTGAAGGAAAACCGAAATTAAGATCGCGGGCTAATTAATAAACTGGAAATAATTAAAAATAAATTATTTAGAAGTACGCGCAAGTGCTTGCAACTGTAATTTAGATATCGTTCGCCCGGCATCCAACAGTTTCGCGGAGGAAGCAAACAAGCCTGTTAAATCGTCGAGTTAATCGTTGAATATTTGAGGATTACTTGGAAACGTTTTTCGTGCACTTATAATTGTTATCTGATTGCGCAATTTTATCTGACATGAAAGAGAAGCCGCGCCGAAGAACAAATTGCGTTTCGCTCGGAGAATCGATACTTTTGAAAGAGAGCGTATTACAGCCACGAAGGCGGACAGCCGTGCGAGATAATCGGAAAGTACTTTTTGCCGAAGACAGCGGGGCGGATTTCCGAGAAGAAACGATCGTCAGCGCGTTAAATGGGCCGCGCCGGCATTAGCCCGGGGACCGCCACGATATCGCAATCTGGCCGCGCGATATATTCTTGGCACGGGGCGAGGGGTGCGTGGCGGGAAGGGGAGGAAGGGATGCTCCGAGCTGCTAGGGACACGCAACAAATTTGTGTACGGATGATGAGCGTCGGTAAATAGAGAAGGCAGTGTGGTGGTATTGATTTCAGTGGTATATTACTCGGAGTGGCGAGCGAGGAAGAGGGGGACGGAGGGGGGCCGAGGTGGTGTTCGGGGATGACGGCGGAGGAGCGCGGTCGTGAGAGAGGCCCGAGGGGGTCGCGGGGAACGCTGGTGGGTGACCAAAGAGAGCGGGAGAGAAGACCGAAGGAGGCTACGAGGAAGAAGCAGAGCCGGCGGGCGGAGAGAGGCTGTCTTCCACCCCTTAACCCGCTCGTTCTAGCGTTAAATATGATACAAATGTTATCATCCCTTCTATTCCGTTCTCCTGGTTCCCACCCGACGGCGACGGCGGCGGCGGCGGCGGCACACGAACCACGAACGACCATCCTGACCCCCCCCCCCTCCCCTCTCTCCAACCGCCCGCGCCACGACCTCGTCCTTCGCTTCCGTGCCACCGCCACCCTCGCCCAGCCCCCCCCCCGTCTCTCACGGCTCGGCTTCCTCCGCCGACCTCTTCCCTCGTTTAACCCGGGGATAGCGCGGGGATGACGGTATTAAGGGCAGCTCTATTATTCGACCACCCAACCACTCGACTCTTCGCCTCGAAAATCCTCGAATCTTTTTTCCCTTCTTTTTTTCTGCCTTCTCGTTTCCCTCCCCTTCTCCGCCGCTTCAGCTCGTTCCTTCTGCCGAGTCCTCCCCCCCCCTCCCGCTCCTCGCTCCTCTCCACCCCTCGCGCTTTTCTGTTACGGTCCCACCGCCCTGGATTCTCTCCCTCCTCCTCCTTAAGGTCCCGTACCCTCGTTCCACGTCAGCCTTCT